ACAAGGCAGAGTGGGTGACATCTCGTTCCCATGGCCGTGGAGCGGTGTCCCCAGGCCAGTACTACCCCTTCCTGCAGTGCCTCCCGGGCGGAGGAGAGGCTCTTCCTCGCAGAAATCTCCCCCCGAGCATCACCACTGCCCCTGTAGAGCCTTGGCCGAGCAGCTGTCACTGCGGAGCTGTGGCTGGTGGTCTTGGTCTGCCGAGGCTTCACCAGGGCGCTGGGTCACAGGCAGCATGTTCTGCAAATGCTTCAGAGGGGGAAGGAACTGGTGTAAAATCAGGGTTATTTGTCCGGGGCCCCTGGGCCAGTCCCGGTGCGCAGCAGTGAGAGCATCCCGGCCGTTGGCGGTGCGGTGATGCTCCCCACGCCCGTGGTGCCGTGGGCGCTGGAAAAGGAGCATGCCGGGTGCTGCCAAGCCCCCAGCGGAGCCGCAGCCTGCGCCCAGCGCTCGCTTGCTCACGCGCACCCACGTGTCCCCTCTGAGCGTGAGCGTGCGCAGGCACCTGCGGTGTGTGGAGGAGGATGTGGGCACTGCCAGCACTGCCCTCGCCCCAGACCCCCCCAGAGCCGGTGAAGTCCAGGACTCACCCATGCATCTTCCTGACCGTAGCCTGAAACCAGGGCAGCTTCTCCTCAGCAGGCACCAGGAACTGTAGCTGGGCTTGGTACCCAAAGTGATTTAAGACCGGCTGCTTTAAATGGGATTGTAATATTCTTACTCATCACTATTAATAATGATGTTACTATTTCTTAATGATGCACAAAACTGTCAGAATATGACATGTAAAACTATTTTACATGAAGTTTAACTGTCAAACAAATGCCATAAGCGGTTGGAGAGCAGCACATTTCCCCCGACACGAGGTATTGCTACTACGCTTCTTGAGGTTTTTATTTTTCTTTCATTTAATTGTTGATTTCTGCTTGAAAAGTCAGAAAGTTACTTCAGGTCAAGTGGAAGCATTTTAGTTTTTTTAAATGAATAGATAAAATTATTCCCATTAATGAAATTTTTAGGTCTGTGTGCTTAGATAATAACATGAGGTAATCAAATCTCATGCTTCAGGGCATAAACTGATTGACTATAAGGGTCAGGAATTATTTTTCCTGTTCTTTAAAGAAGTGAACAATGGCCTGATAAATGATGAAGGCTTATTCATTTGTCTCCAGAGGACGTTACGCTGGCCGTTTGGACAGTGAAACATGGAGCAAAGTCAGAGCGTTGATTCAGTGTGACATAATTTTGTATCCTCTCTCTCTAAGGGGACATCATCCAGTTTGAGTCTTGAGAGCGAGCAGCTCCTTCCAGCTCTTGGGTTAGTTCTGCTGGTCGCACAGTGGCTGTTGCTGTCTGTCTTGGGGGGGTGAGGAGCCCCCAGGGATTTCTGCTGACCCCCAGGGCACATGAAGAGCAATGGTCACCAGCGTGGACCATGCCTGCCCCAGATACTGGCTGCAGGACCTGCGCTGGCGCTGGGGTGGGCACGATTTGGTGCCCAGTACCGTGACACACCTGGTTTAAGTGGTCCTGCATGACAGCGAGTGGCAGTGGGCTGTCCGCTTTTGGCATGGAGATGAGATCTCCCCCCAGGGCTCTCGCTCTCCCTGTGCTGCAGATGGTCAGGGTCATTGAAAATACATTTTCGTAATAATTTTAAGGCCAGGAAGGTAATAAAAGGTACTAACAGCTCAGCAGAGTTGCGGTGGGGGGTATTAAGAGGCCCTGGTTCAG